AGTGAGGGAACTAGCCAGGGGCGAGTCTGATTCCTGGGGCCAAAAACCTTGGAGAAATTATTCCACCCAAAAAACTACTTTAAAAGAAATTGGCGGGGGGCGCCTGGGTGGCTCAGTTGGTTAAGCGACTGCCTTCGGCTCAGGTCATGATCCTGGAGTCCCAGGATCGAGTCCCACATCAGGCTCCTGGCTCAGCGGGGAGTCTGCTTCTCCTTCTGACCCTCTCCCCTCTCATGCTTTCTCTCTCTCAAATAAATAAAATCTTTAAAAAAAAAAAAAGTTTCATTACCCTAAGAGGTGGCAGTAGCTTTTTAAATGAAGTGGGCGATGCCAGATCACTGTGACCAAGGCTGGCATGTGATCAGGAACCAAACCAAGGCCTGTCTAAAACACGCCTTCAGTGGAAATTAGGGATACTGGGGGATGAAAAGCTTCAGCTGGTGATGAACGGAGCGTACCCTTCCTAACAAACAAGACTTCATCGGACCCAGTGTGCCAGGCACTGGGCAAAGCCCCGGGAGGACACAAATGCCTCATGCTAAGAACCTACGAGTCAGGAAGATAAGACTTTCACACGACCTCCTAAGAGTATCTGATCTCAAGCGAGTGTTCCGGAAGCCAGGGGGATCCATCACACTGCAAGGCAGGAAGCCTGGAGTAGGAATCCATGGGGTGGAGAGCCAGAGCACGGCTGGAAAGGGAACAGTTAAGCAGAGGCGGAAACCCACAAGGCTGTGTTCAGGTAACAGCACTTGGAGGGAGCGGAGAACATGTATGGCAGCGTCCCAGGGGCTGCCGGGGGACACAGCAATAATTCAGTGACCCGAGATGGGAAGCTGCACTGTTAGGAGCCAGAGACTTCGGGACCTAAGCAGACACCCCCCCGCCCCCACAGCTGGAGTAAGTGGGCGGGGCCACAGGGAGCCCCCTGCTGCCTGACCCAGGTCTGCTCTCCCTGGGGAGCTTGTCTCCCATTTGGTGAGGGCCAGCTGGGCAAAGCCAGGCTCTCCCCCTCCGGCCGCAGACCTGTCAGAGCCCCTTCTCTCCTCCGCAAACCTCACCTGGCCTTTCCTTTGACCCTCCAGAGCTCTAGATTTCTAACTTTAGAGCCAGGGCACGGAGTCTAACCCTTTATTGGACAGGTGTGGGGAAGGAGCCTGAGAGGTTTAGCGACTTGCCCAACACTGGCCAGCCAGTTAAGAGAGGAGAGAGGCCCTTCTCGTGCTAGATCAGCATCCCTTCACCCTGCCCTTGGCTTCATCCTCATCCACTGTCACCCTGGGTGATCACACTGGGCTGGTCCTCCCAAGACCAGGAAAGAAAAATCTGGCCCTGTCAGTACTGCAGGTGTGAGAGCGAAGTACAGTCATTAAACGATGCACAAAGAACTTTGGAGAACTTTTTATTGTTTAAAAATCATAATTGAAGCTTCAAAAAACATACAACCCAACACGTGCCCCAATTCCAGTCCCCAACTCCCTGGAGAGCACGGGGCTATTCCCTCCCATCCTGCTGCCCACACCACTAGCCAGGACCCTGCCCTGGGGAGGCCGCCTGCCCACCCTCCTGCCCACCGTGCGCTATGTCACTGGCTGGGGAGGGGTCCTGGGGTGAGGTGGGGGTGGCTGGCTCCCTGCGCCCCTCACCCCCTGCACATACGCAGTCTGTGAGGCATGTAGAGGAAAGGGGCCAGTTCCCTGGGCAGGGGACCCCAAGGGGGAAAGATAATGAGCCAGTCCCCACTCACCCCACCCCTCCCCAGCCCCCCAGCTCAAGGAAAGCTGTCATCATCATCTTCTGCCATCTCCTTGGCAAACTCCAAGTCTTGCTGTTCTCGCTCACGCCGTTCCTGGGGCAAGAGGTGGGGTGAGGGCTGGGCTGCTGGGGACCAGTGGGGCTCTCTCACACAGTGCTTCACCCAGCCCACCCCACCCCAAGGTCAGGGACTGCCAAAGCTTCAGAGCTGCTCCGAGCCCTTCCAGAAACCGCCTCCCTCTTCCCTCTCTGTAGGGAAGTCTGACCTTTCAGTCTTCTCTAAAGTAGAAGGCACCTTACCTCTGCAGACTCCAAGTCCTTGTTGTACGATTTGGGAGGAAACCTCATGGCCTAAAGCACAGCAGAGAGAGGAACAAGATGAAGAGAAGGCACGCACTTAACTTACGTTTACTGTGCTCCTTCTGTGTACCGGGCACCACGACATGAATAAGGTTATTCGCTCTCCAGTGGAGTCTAGTGGGGAGCTAGGCATGCAAGCGAATTACTACTACACCACGTGCTAAATGCTAAAGGAGAGAATCAGGTGACCCCGGAGGTGTAAGCGACTAATGCTCCTGAATGGGCAGGAAGGGGGATTGGCAGTGAGAAGGGACAGGAGGAAAGGAACAGACTGGCGTGCGAATGGAGGAAAGGCAGTCCAGGCAGAGGTTTCAATGTGTGAAAAGGCCTGCTGCTTCCCTGAGCACAGCATTTACCTGATTTTAAGCAAGGCAACAACATCCCTAGTTTCTCGGGGCAAGAAGAGACCAGGAAAAATTTGACACATGGTACCAGCCCCCAAGTCAGTGCCTGCCACAGGATAAGGGCTTAACAGCCTCTGTGGAACTAGACACCCACCCTGCCTTCCCACAGTTCAGACTTCACTAAGTGCCTTGAGACACTGATTGCATTTAATGTCATCAAGCCTGAAGCACACAGGGCAGGTCCTCTCACTCTCACCATCAGCTTCACAGATGGAGAAACAGTCTCAGAGAAGGCGAATGACTCAAATTTGGAAGCGAATCTGGAGCCCTGCACTCTGAATCCGTCTGGTCCCCTGGAAACCAGGCCCTTAGAAGCAGTCGAAGGTCTTCCAGGCCCACATGCCGAGTCCTTTGCTCCCTCTGGGCCCCCTGCCCTGCCATTCAGCGACTTTACAGAGAAGGGCCGGGAACTAGGCTCATCTCTGATGAATCCTTGCTTGCTGCCAAACCCCCCTCTGCAGCCCCAGCTTCTCACCTTGACGGACATGTTGTGGATATCGAGGCAGAAGGAGATCCGCTGGTGGAAGGCCAGCTGGGGCTCACGGGTAGAATAGATATCAATCATCTCCTTGGACTGGACGTAGCCCTTCTCGTGGTTGATGCTGGCCTCAATGACGCCATCCCGGATGGCCTGCAGGTCCCCAAGGGGACGCAAGGTCACCAGAGAGCCCTTCTTCTAAATCTCAGAACATCCTGTTCCTTTCCTCCTTATACTCTCACACGCTCACTTGAGTACACATTCTCTCTGGAAACTTCTTGGCTTCACTCTAAGACTGGCACTCCCTGAAAAGACCATGCCACCCCCTCCTTCACCAATCTCCTCTCATTCCCGTCCCCTGAAATGCGGCAGGAGCGCGGCAAGTGTAGTCCCCGAGCCAGCCCCACCTTGGCAACAATGAACTCCGCGTCCTCTGGGCTATCCAGCTGCAGCTTCTGTGCAATGTCAGCCAGGGAGATTCGGGAATACGAGAGGCTGATCATGCGCACACCTGGGAGAGGAAGGAGCAGTGGGGTGGGCATGGTGGGCACAGCCCCTTCACCCACCCACGGACACCCCTAGGGCTGTCCCCATCCCTTGCAGAAGTCTCTTCTGGGTCCTGCTCTTCCAGCGGCCCCTCAGACTCCCACCCGCACCTGTCTTAATGACGTTGTGCCGCAGTCGGATGATTAGGGTATAGGTCCCATCTGCTTGAAACTTCTCCCCAAACTGGTCCAGGACCTGGTTGAACTTGGCTAGGTTTCCGGTCCTGACAGCTGCAGGGGGAGAGGAGCGTGTCGGATGACGCCAACAGGCAAACCCACTGAGGAGGCCACGGCGACCGGGGTCCGGCCAGCTCTGGGAGCGGGGCTGGCCTTACCTTGAGTCAGGAGGAAGTAGGGCATGAGCGAGCGCTTGAGGGATGGCTGACGGAACTGTAGCCGGTCCGGGATCTCCCCGAGCAGCAGCTCCACCACAATCAGAAGCTTGTGCACCTGGAGGTGTGGGACACGGGAGCACAGGGGGCAGGGAGCCCCAGCGGGGGGGGCGGGGGGTAGAGAAACAGGGCTTCAGCGCAGCCAGACACACTGCGAAACAGGGAAAATGGCCCTGCGATTAGGCCCATGCAGAGCTGGGCCTGTGCCCAGAGCCAGGTCCTGGAAGAGCTGCCCCTTTGACCACACTGAGCCCTAAGTTCCACGGCACACCACGCTGCAACGGCAACGCTCTGGAAGTTTAGGCCAGACGGGCAGGTCCTGTGGCTCAGAAACGGTGAGGGGACAGGGCCCAGAGGTCTAGGGAATGGAACAGGATCGGCCAAAGATGCTGCTTAGGGAGGTGGATCGATACTGGAGGAGAGGAGGTGAGTGTGGAGAACTCGGCACCTGGCCAGAGGCAGAAGCGTGGGAAGGGGACGGGCAGAACCTCAGTGAATGGGCCGTGTGCGGATGCAGGAGGCTGCCTGGGAAATCCAGCCCTTCCTTCTCCATAAAACTGAGGGATTTCTGAATAGTGCCTACCGTGGACTTGGCACCAAGTGAGAAAAATTACAACGGAGGGGATGATGCCAGCGATGAAGGAGCCGCCCACCAAGTAGGATGGACAGGGCCACATCACGTGACAGCAAGAGTCGTGAGGGAAGTAAGGGGTTAAGATGGGTGGTGGGTTGGGGCGCCTGGGTGGCTCAGTCGGTTAAGCGCCTGCCTTCAGCTCAGGCCACAATCCCAGAGTCCTGGGATCGAGCCCCGTGTCAGGCTCCCTGCTCAGTGGGGAGTCTGCTTCTCCCTCTCCCTCTGCCCCTCCCTGCTGCGTGTGCTCTCTCTCTCTTTCTCTCTCCCTAATAAATAAATACATATTTTTTTAAGATTTTTATTTATTTGAGAGATTGAGTGAGTGAGAGAGCGAGCACACGAGCAGGGGCAGAGGGAGAGGGAGAAGCAGGCTCCCCCGCTGAGCAGGGAGCCTGACACGGGGCTCGATCCCAGGACCCTGGGACCATGACCCGAGCTGAAGGCAGACGCTTAATTGACTGAGGCACCCAGGCGCCCCCCAAAAAAAATCTTAAAAAAAAAAAGATGGGTGGTGGGTGATCATGCCGACACCCAGCCCCATATACCTGCGATGCTGCCCCGTTCCCTGGAGAATCCAGGAGTGAGGGGAAACCCAGGCGAAGGGCAGAAGTTAAGACACGCCGTAAGGATTTGGATGAAGCAGAAAAAGGAGGATGTTTTGGCCGAGGGAACAGACTGGACAAGTGTGAGCACACGTTTCAAGAAGTTTGGAAGGCTTTCATGGGGGAGGCTGGGCCCGTCTGGGGACGTGCTGTTTTGAATGCCAGGCTGAGTTCGGAGTTTGAGGACAGAATGCTAGTCTTCGATCACTAGCTCGGAAAAGCTGAGCAACCAAGTCCTCGGTTTCCTGGTCCCTACAATGGGCGGCAACGGTGGCCACAGCAGTGTCATCCAGTGTCATCATAACCCCCGCCTGCCTCCCTCACAAGACTTGTAATACTCTCCTGGGCAGGTAATGGGGAGCAATGCAAGCTTCCTGGGCAAAGAGACGGGCCTGGAGCTCTGTTTACGTCAGGCAGGCGTGTGGAAACTGGGCTCGTAACGGGGAGGAAGACGACCAGAAATGCTAGTGGCTCAAACAAGGGCACTGATGATACCAGAGAGGATACAAATACAAAAGACACGGAGGCGACTTAGTGATGGGGAAGGAGGGGTGGGGGGTGGCTCCCGCCGACAGTCTGCTGGCCAAAGACGTCACTCCAGCTCTCTTTGCTCCTTCCTGTCACCTGGCTCTACCACAGAAACCCCTGAAACCTTATCCCTCATCCATCCATAGTGAAGTCTGGCTTGAAAACTCTGCTTTACCCCACAATGCCGCTCCCCAGTACAAGACACCGCTTCTATACTGATTACCTGTATTTTTAGAAACTTTAGCGTATGTCATACGTTGTAAGCAATCTAATACTCTGTACACATACCGTGTATGTCTGAAAAGCCATTCCTTTCTGTGAAATTCTACCCATCTTCAAAAACCAGATTAAATTTAACTTTTTAAAGATGTCTTTAATTATTTGACCAAAACCAAACCTGTCTTTCTCTGAACTTCTGAACAGAAACAAACCAAATCTTGAAACCAAATCTTGACCACACGGACCTAATCATTGCACTTCTCCATCTGATTCTCTTTCCAGGGCACGAGGAGGTGGAGGTCATGTTAAAGTGGGAACAGAGGTTCATAGTTAGGAAAGCTGGGTCCAAATTCTGGCTACCAGGCTCTGTGACTTTACATGGGCCCTCAAGCCTTGCTGAGTCAACGCTGTTTACCTAGATCACAGCGCCCAACACCAAGGTCAGCACTCAAAAAATACTTGGTGACTGACGGCTCTCGGGTGGCCAAGATTTATCTGCCCCCGAATCAGTCAGCCTGATGGCGATTTTCTGGGCTCCTTGGCCAAAGAAAACACTGCTCCCAAATGGGCATGTGAGGGACCAGGAAAAAGCCTGGGGTTTCTCAACACAACCCAAGCCCATGACTGGAATGACTGTAAGGAGCGCCGGGGAAACAGGAATATTCTAAAACCTATCTACCAAGGATCGCACTCTGAACGTAAACCACACGAGGCGCGGCAGTGTCTGCTTCATGTGCTCTGATCAGTGCTACGCACAAACGGACATGCGATGCAACTTCTGGATAATGAAGGTTCAGGAGGCCTTCCCAGGCCCCTGCGCAGGGAAGGAGAGCGAAAGCATGATCAGATGAGGGAGCGGCGCGGGCATGAGAAGCACTGCTCACCGTCTGTTTGAAGCCGACAGCTGTGTGCTGCGGGGCCTTGCGAAGGGCATTGGTCATCGTCCTCCGGGCCTCTGAGTACTCCAGCTGAATGGCTTTGATTCGCCCTGGGCGTGGAGGAGAGGGCGCGTCAGCAGGACGGCGTCCTCCAAAGCCCCTTGCAAACCAGGGCGCCGAACGGGCCTCTTGGGCCTCCCGGGCACCAACTGCACCCGATTTTGCGGACCTCCGCACCACGTGGGCCCGACACCCCCCGGGCCCCTCGCTCACCTGTGTAGTAGAGGTACCTGGCCCACTCGTTGTTGTTGGCCTGCTCGGGGAACACGGACTTGGACACCAGCTTCTCGGCCTGGTCATACAGGCTGTAGTGTAGGTAGTTCCGCAGCAGGAGGTTGAGCAGAGTGGCCTGGCCGTCTGCGTCGTGCCGGAGCGTGGCCGTCCGGAGCCGAGCGTGCAAGAAGCTTCGCAAAGGCAAGAAAAAGCATGTCAAACGCCTCAAAGAACAACTCTTTGAACGGCTTTGAACGCTCTATTCTCTCAATTGCAAAAAAAAAAAGTGGCACAAACTGCTTTTCTGGCTATTCACTGACTCTTCAACCCTCGAGCCCCTGTGGCGGGATGCGCTATTCCGGGCGCACAAAGAGGCCACAGCTCCGCATCCGAACGGGCGAGACAGCCAACGACCGTGATAGATGAGTGTCGTAGGTAGCATGACAGGAGGAGGTAGGGGCTGTGGGGAAACCAGGGAAAGTGCAGTGGGGAACGCAGGAGGCGAGGAGGATGGGGATGCAGTTTTAAATAGCTTCATCAGAACAGGACTCACTTCTGAAAAGGTAACAAAGGCTTAAAGGAAGTAGGGAGAGGAGCAGCGTCAGCAGAGAGAAGAGTGTGCCTGGCATGCCCCAGGAGAGCAGGGAGGCCAGTGTGGCGGAGGAATGAGTCCGGGGGAGCGGGGGGAGGTAGAGTCAAGAAGGCAGTTAGCAGGGGCCAGAGCACGTCAGGCCTCACATGCTATGGTGACTTCAGCTCTTCCCTGAGGAACATGGGAGCCACCACAAGTTTTAAGCCGAGGAGTGAAATGTTTTCCAGCCTGTCCTTCTACCCTTGACCTACCAATGCTCCCTTGCTGTGGTGTGTAGGGAAGAGCCTGGGGGACAGCTGTTAACCTTGGCGTCAGCCCTTGGCCATCTGTACCTGCGCACCACATCCAGCTTGTCCAGAAACTCATAGACCCGGGCGTGATAATAGTAACACTTTGCGGCCACGAGGTCCAGGGCCCGGCGGTTCTGAGTGCTGATCTTCTGCATCAGATCGTCAGAGATCCTCTGTGCCTGGGGAGGCAGCCAAAAGAGAATCAAGTGGGAGTTCCTCAAAAAGTTGAACAGGGAGCTATCATATGAGCCAGCAACTCCCCTCCTAGGCATGAATCCAGAAGAACTGGAAACGTATGTTCACATAAAAGGTTGTACACAAATGTTCACAGCAGCATTATTCATAATTATCCATACAACGGGAATATTATTCATCCATAAAAAGGGCTGGAATCCAGATATACACTACAACACAGACAAGCCTAGAAAACATTATGCAAAGTCAAAGCAGCCAGACACAAAAGGCCATGCGTTACATAATTCCATTTATAGGAAATGTCCAGAATAGGAAAATCCACGAGCCAGAAAATGTAGATGAGTAGTTGCCAGAGGCTGGAGTGAGGGGAGAATGGGGAGTGACTACTAACTGTAACGGGGTTTCTTTTTGGGGTGATGAAATTATTCTAGAATTAGACAGTGATGATGGTTGCACAACACTGTGAACACATCAGAACCCACTGAACTGTACCCTAAGTTTTTTTTTTAATGTATTGAATTTAGTTAATTAATTTATTTATTTTAAGTAATCTCTGCACCCAATGTCGGGCTCGAACTCATGACCCAGAGATCAGGAGTCGGATGCTCTACTGACTAAGCCAGCCAGGCGCCCCTGAACTGTACACTTTAAAGGGGGTGAATTATATCTAAAAACAAACAAAAACCGATTCGTGGCAAGCAAGAAAAAAACAAAACAGGGAATGGAACAGGGGGAACTGTCATTTCTTTCTTTCTTTTCTTTTTTCCAAAAGATTTACTTATTTGGGAGAGCGAGCGCGTGGGTGGGCACGTGCACACACTCAAGAGCGGGGGTCCTAGCCAGGGGGAGGGAGAGAGAGAATCTCAGGCAGACCCCTGTTGAGCACGGAGCCGAACTCAGGGCTCGATCCCACGACTCTGAGATCATGACCTGAGCCCAAATCAAGAGTCGGATGCTCAACCGACTGAGGCACCCAGACGCCCTGCCCCGGTCCTGTCATTTCTTGAGTGTGTTCTTTGGATAGTGGCTGTGACTGACAAAGAAGCTGGCCCCAGCCGGGGCGGGGGGAGGGTGGCTCAGTCCCGTCGTCAGAGCTGCCACTTATGAAAATGCCGTGAAAACTTACTATATGCAGATCACCGTGCTAGTATTTTATTTAATGCCAACAATGATGTTGTGAGTTGGGCGTTGTTTTCCCCCATCTGACATAAAGTCAGGAGAAATTAATTTGCCATAAGGTACAGCTAGGATTTGAACTCAGGTTTCTGTCTCTAAATCTCCCTTTCCTAACAGAACCCACCGCACGGGTACTGTGCCAGAGAGATGCCTGCCACTTCCCACGGAGTCTCAGCACGAGCTAAGGGGGCTTCCCTGGATGTGGGGTTAGGTACATTCCCACATGGGGGAAAGGGTCTGGGGGCACGATGAAGAGCCCAGGGACTCTCTCCAGTTCTTCACCAGAGACAATCTCTCCTGCAAACCCCATGCTCTGCTTGCTCTGGTCCTGGATACCTCTTTGTAACGCTTGCTGTTCATCAGGAAGATGACCATGAGGAGCTGTAGGTAGGCTTCCACTTCAGGCAGGAGGGGGGTTGACGCAGCTTTTCCTGTTCGGGGACGGAACTGTAAATCAGCTTCGGTGTCCATGGGCTAGGAGGAGACAGGAATTACTGTGGAAAAGCTCAGTCAGATCAACCAATTAAGAATTTATTAAGCACTCACAATGTATTTCAACAAATATTCACTGAGTGCCTATTATATGCAAGATTTTTCTAGGTACTGGGATATAAAAATAAAGATGGCACCGTCCCCTTCCAAAGGAAGTCAAGGAGGCTGGCAAGAGAAACAAAAAAAAGGTTGACAGGAGTACAACAGACATCTTTACAGAATATAATGGGGACAGAAAGGATATTACGAAGACCCCTCAAAGAGTCTACAATCTAAGTAGAGAGATTAAACCACCACACCTGGAACCACTGCAATTTTATCAGAGAGGGTTTAACAAGGTAATATAATTCTAGGAATGAGGTCAAGAATAATGAGATAATTTTTTTTTTGGTGGGAACAAAGGAAATTTGGGGGAAACTGACATATACATCGTACTTATTATCGGATCTAGTCATCCAAACTGGAATAATGTGCAACAGCTCAAAAACAAACATGTTGGGGTGAATTCAGAGATATATAGGTTAAAAAAAAATTTTCCAGGTGAAGTAGGAAGAGGGTGCTTTTCCCTGTTCCCAGACAATAAATTCTTCATCATTCCACCTCAAGGGATTTTTTGAGTCTGTTCTATGGAACAGCCCATGAGCATATAGGGAGATGGCTGAAGGGACAATGAGGTGTGAGAAGGGGCAGGACCTGGACACAAGGGGGATTTTACAGCCAGAAAGGAAAAGGAGGGGTCTTTCCTGACACGGAGTCCACTGCCAGCAACAAACAAACTTCCTCAGCGTTCATTATGTGCCAGGCACGGTTCTAAGAGTTTTACACATATTCCTTTCCTCCCCTTCGTCCCCCAAATCTGTTCACCACATTTAACAAAGGAAGAAAATGAAGCATCAGGAGATTAGATCACTTGTCCAGGTCCCACATGGACCAAACGGTAGAGCTGGTTTTCAAATTCAACTCTACCTCCAGAACCTGTGCTCTTTACCAGTTTTATACGTCCTCCATGGTGAGGCTTCGGAGGCAGAGAGGTGGTGGTACCTTCTCCTAGGACCATGGAGACACCACCCAACTGGAGGAGAGTGTTGGTGTTGGGGAGCAGTGGGAACAGAGTTTGGTTCAAAGGGTCCTGATTCCCAGCTCTTTTCCCTGACTCTAATGATACTACAGGGCAGGATGGTTCCCTTGTTAGTGGGCAAATGAGTATTAAAATGAGCTGCTTTGTTTCACCAGTCAGCTACAGCAGGTAGTAAGACAGGTCTTTAGGATGAGAAACAATTACATCGAGAGGTGGGGTGGGGTGTGGTCTGAGGCCAAGCCTGTACCCTTTAAGTGCCTGACTCACTTACCTCTTCCAGGAAGGGCAGCAAGAAGTCTCGAGTGGCATTATTTGAGGTGAAGAAGCCATGCACAGCCTTATACAGAACGTAGTGGTTGAGGCGGCGTGATGTGGAAGGTAGCATCCGCAGGGCCCTCAGCACGAATCGAGGCTCCTTGCCCAAAACTGCCTTCTCCAGCTGTTTCACGTGCTCCTTGATGTCTGTGGAGGACCACAGAAGAAAAAAAATGTTACTTCTAACTCTTCCTATTCTCCCACCACTCTAGGCGAGAAGTTCTAGGGAACCTCTTTTAAAGGGCAAGATGTAGCCAGTCATTTCTTTTGCCTAATACGGTTAAGCAATACTTACAGATGCCATACAATGATTTTAAGACATAACCAAGAGACAAAGAAAAATAAAGCTGGGGTAGGGGAAAGGGTAGAGGGTGACAGAAAGAGGAAGAAAGGAAAAGCAACGATGAGAAACAACAAAGACAAACACATGGAGGGGCGCCTGGGTGGCTCAGTTGTTAAGCATCTGCCTTTGGCTCAGGTCGGGTCCTGGGATCGAGCCTTGCATCGGGCTCCCTGCTCGGCAGGAAGCCTGCTTCTCCTTCTCCCACTCCCCCTGCTTGCATTCCCTCTCTCGCTCTCTGTCAAATAAATAAATAAAATCTTAAAAAAAAAAAAAAAAGACAAACACATGGAGATTTATCAGTTTTCTAAATAGGAAAAGACTTTCTAAATGTAAATAATGGGAGAAATCACACACACACACACACACACACACACACACACACACACGAATGATGAACTCCACTCTGCAAAAAATCCTTCTGAATAACTGTGTAAACAAAAATATTTGCAACAAATGTGACCAGAGACATATTCTTATTTTACAAAGAGCTTGCATAAATTAGGATAAGTAAAAATGAACACAAAGACACAATGCAAAAAGCAGACAGACAGCTAACCGATATGAAAATATATTTCACTAGCATTTGAATAACTGCAAATGGAAATGTTTTCAATTACCAAACTGGTTAACACAGAGGGGTGCCTGGGTGGTGCAGTTTGTTGAGCGTCTGATTCTTGGTTTCGGCTCAGGTCATTACCTCAGGGTCCTGGGATTGAGCCCTGCATCAGGCTCCACGCTCAGCGTGGAGTCTGCTTGAGATTCTTTCTCTCTTTTCCTCTGCCCTCCCCGCTTGTGCGCTTGTGCTCTAAAATAAATAATCTTTAGAAAAAAATCATAACATTACTTTCAACTATTCTATGTCTTAATATTTAAAGTTTCTGTCTTATAAAAAAATATAACCGAGTCAGGGGTGAACAGGACATTTCTGTTGGTATAATGTAAATCAGTACAGTTTCTCTGAACAATACTCATCCAAAACCCTAAAAATATCTGCCTTCTCAACTCAGGCATATTGAGAATCTGTACTAAAGAAATAATCATAAAGGTAGATTAAAAACTTGGCTCACAAAGATGACTGCTGCAAAGCTATATATAATGGTAAAAAACTGGAAACAACTGAAGTGTCCAGGAATAAGGGAACACATGAATTGGTAGTTTCTTAGTTACCTTTGTACACTTAGCATAGAGTGTCTGGGTCCCCTTGACATAATAATGATAACTGCTAACATTACAGAGGGTTTACTATGTGTTCATCATGTGCTAGGCACAGTTCTAAGCATTTTATTTATTTAAGATTTTATTTATTTGACAGAGCAGCAAGAGACGCAGCGAGAGAGGAACACAAGCAGGGGGAGGGGGAGAGGGAGAAGCAGGCTTCCCGCTGAGCAGGAGCCCGATGCGGGGCTCGATCCCAGGACCCTGGGATCATGACCTGAGCCGAAGGCAGACGCTTAACCAGCTAAGCCACCCAGGCGCCTCCAGAATGGTCAGCTTTAAGAGCTCTCCTGTGATGACCCCATAGGTAAAGGGCAGTGTGAGGGCCCTGCCTTTTAACTCAGGGCCCAAAGCACCCTTTCCAAGCACCAGCCACCCCATCCTGGCAGCCCCCCAGCCCTACCACTCTCACCTCTCCTGGTGCAAGGTCTCCAGAGCCTTAGGGGCCACACTGAGTGTCTGGACCTCCAGGGTACTGCTCCTGGACAGCCCGGCAGTCCCCGTGACCTTGACTGTCTTTGGCACATCCACCTCTCCCTCCACTCGGGCATCCAGCATATTCTTAAAGCTAAAGTTCCCAGAGTCTGTTGGATCTGCAGGAGAGAGAAGACGAAAGGGGCCAGGCTGAGAGGCCTGCCTCTTCCCCTCCCTTCTGGGAGAACTTTGGGCTACGTGACACCAAGCCACATCCGGACAGAGGGAGCTTTGGGTTCCTCCTCATAAGCCAGGGCCTGGCCCCCATCCTTCGAGAGCCAACCCCGTGCTGGACCTGACCTGAAGGCGAGCTGCCGGCTTCAAGCACATCCAGGAGGGTGTAGTCAGTGCGGACATAGCGGGCACCCCAGAAGAGTGTGCTCTTCCTCTTCCTCAGCACCAGGCAGAAGGGATGGAAGCGCTTGAAGTCTATGAGGCTGTCAAGGGGTGTCAGGTCCCCTCTAGGGTTTAGCTGTCTGGCCAGGGCCCGGGTGACATTTTCAAAGGTGGTCATTTTCTCTGTGGGGGTGGAGGGAGACAGGAGAGTGACAAGTTGGGCGACCAGGACATGGTAAGGGCCCTGGCAGAGAGAGATCACCTGGCTCTGGGGGAGGAGGTCCCTTTAAAAATGCCTGGACTCTCGGAGTATCGTGGCTGAAAACAACCAAAGGAGCCTCCACTTTATGATGAGGACACACAGCCCCGAGGGCTGAAGCGACTTGCCTGAAGTCACACAGCTGGTTAGAGAAGCCAGACCTTCCCTGTCAAGGGCTCTGGGCTCACCCCTCCTTCAAGTTCCTCACGGACTTGGGGCCTGGCTGGAGCATTTCGTGAGTGAGGGAAGTAAATCTCCTCTCATACAGCTCTGCCCACCTTGTCTCCCCCAGAGAACTCTGATAGCCGGGACCAGGGAGGCCGGGGAGGCAGGCAGCCCCCACTGGTGCCGAGGGCCTGAGGAGGCCAACGCGGTTCACCTCCCCCAGTGGCCCCTTCTTTGGGTGGGGGTCACTTCCCTGTACCCTGTACTTCCTTTGTGCCCGCCTCCTGGCTCCTGGCTCTGAACAGACCCACTTCCCCCCAGGTGCCACCCAATATACCCAGGCCTTTCAATCTTTGCCTTGGCTTGTAGTACACTCCCTCCCAATCTAAAGAATCCCTATTCACCCTTTAAGACTCAATTTGGGTCACTTCTTTTGTGACTCCTTTCTCACTCCCCGTCAGGCAGCGAGTGACTCTATCCTGTGTCCCCAGAGCACTTTGTACGTGCCCTCCCGAAACACCTGTAGCCTCATGTTGTTCATGTTGTTATGATCTGTTCACTTGACTCTCGCCTACTCGACTGTGGCCTCCCAGAGGGCAGGAAATGAGTCTTAGCCATCTCTGCAGCGTTGGCACTGAGCACAGTGCCTGGTGCAGGCCCGGAGCCTGACAAGTGTGTGTGCACAGAATGAATGAAGAGATGAATGAATGAACATGGCCCTGCGAGACATATACTGGGGTGAGAGGGCCCTGGAGAATGTGGGGTCTGCAAGAGCCTGAACTTCATAGCCTCAGGTCCCTGCCTTTGAGGTTCAAGTCCAGGTGCTGTGGCTGGGCGGCCAGCAGGCACAGCCATGGGTGGGGGAGGATGCACCAGCTAGCCTGGAACTGGCTCGCCGCCCCCGTGGGCACCTCGCAGAGTCAGGGAAGTGGGAGGCACGCACACAGGTGCGTGGGCCACCTCCAAGGTGCCTTTTTCACCTCTAATTCCCGAGTGGGCCAGGGTGGGACAGGACAACCTCCAGGGGCCAGTCCGATGCCCGCAGGAAGGGATCAGGTGACTTCTGTCTCTTCCTTACCAGAGACGTGCTCACAGGACATCTCGTTTCTCCCCGCAAGGCTTATGAAGATACCTACTCCCCTGGGCTCGAGGGGACTCCTAGGCCCGTCTCTTCCCACCCATGTTCTTGTTCATCCCTAGAACACCCCCACCTCCCCTGCTGTCATCAAGCTCTTACCAGAGAGCAGTTCTGGGTCCTGTCTAGCAGCCGGATCTGGGATAAGGGCCCAGGACTCAGTCTGTAGGTTGAGAGAGCTACTGTCCCTCACCAGGACGGGCTACAGCTTTATGCCTCTCTGGAGGCAAGGATGTAGGCTTCCAGGGACCCCGCCTGCCCCGGTGACGCCGCCCTTCTCCTGCTCTACTACCAGGAGAACAGCATCAACCTGTTCCACGTGTGCCCTGCCCCAGGCCCTGGGCCCTGGCCTCCTGAGGGCTGAGGGGGCAGGGAGCTGCCAGGCAGGTGCCAGCGTGGGTGGAGGGAGCCAGACCAGAGACAAGTGGCCACTGAAGGTTGGCTTGATGGGCAGAGAGGAGAGGAGGGAAGGCACCTTTGGGAGAGGGGCAGCTGAGAGGCAGTGGGAGGGGTGCGTGTGTGTATGTGTGTGTGTGCACGTGGATGGGTGATGAGGGAAGGCATTTCTGTTCTGTCATCATCATGGTCATCAGGAAGCATCTAGGATTCATGACGAGGCCTTGTGGGTGTGACAAGGGAGTAAGAAATCCTGTATGTCTACAGATTCCAGCAGAAAGCAGAGCGGCTGAAAAGTTGTCCTCCATCTTTCTGCTGGTCTGTCTGCACATCATTCGCTCCCTCCCTTTGTTTTAGCTACAAAGACATATCAATGGCACCGCTAGCTGCCTATGTCTATGTAGGCAGAGACGGAGTTAGACCAAGTGGTTTCCTGTTCAGCGCGTCGGCTCCTCTTGGAGTATTGTACCCACACAGACGCGCACATACAGAGGCAGAGTGAGTTAGTGGCAAGGCTAAAAGGCATGTCTGCTTTGGGAGTTGTTCTGAAGTCCGTGCCTGATAGGAATTTTCAAGGGGACTTTATGCACCTGGTCGGGTTTCTAGATGACAAATCAAGACATTTCCAAGCAAGACTCCTATAGTGTTGGGATATGTGTCTATGTCTATCCTGAATACAACTGAGTCTGTCTTCATGCTCTAACTTTGAGGCTCTCCTCAGCACTCATCGAAGGAAAGGAAATGGAGCCTTGAAAACCATGAAGAGGGGCGCCTGGGAGGCTCAGTTGGTTAAGCGTCCGACTCTTGATTTCGGCTCAGGTCATGATCTCAGGGTGGTGAGACTGAGCCCAGCACTGGGCTCCGAGCTGGGCATGGAGCCTGCTTAGGATTCTCCTCCCTCCCTCTCTCTCTGTCCTCTCCCCACTCTGTTCTCTCTCTGTTTCTATTTTTTTTAAAGATTTTATTTATTTATTTGAGACAGAGTGAGCAAGAGAGAGCACAAGGTGGGGGAGAGGCAGAGGGAGAGGGAGAAGCAGACTCCCCGCTGAGCAGGGATCCCAATTTGGGACTTGATCCCAGAACCCTGGGATCATGGCCTGAGCTGAAGGCAGATGCTCAACTGACTGAGCCACCCAGGCACCACCCCCCTCAATTCTGGAAACAAAAACCATGAGATGAAGAGAAGCTAGGTCTTTACTGGAGGTATTCTTGAGGGGCTAGTGGTGAATGCCAAGATCAGACCATCCCACGCTCAGCAAAACTCCCTAAAAACCGAATTATACCTCTTTCTCCAAAGTGTCATTCAGTATGACAGATGCTCCCAAATCTCTCTTCTCTGTGTCATAAAACAAAATCTCTGGGGTCTCTGGTCCCTGCCCCCTATCTTTTGGCTCAGCTTCCTTCCTATCCCCTAGGCCCTTCTTGTGTGACTATCTAGTACTTCCTCCTTCAACAGCTCTAACCAAGGGCTTGGATGTGTGGGAAGGCGGTCATTAGTCATTTGGTCCCTGTCACATGGGCACATGTGTGCAGAAATAGGTGTATGTGCTATATTCATTCCATCTCTACCTATCTCTCCCTTTCTGTATCTCTTAATCCGTGCTTTGATGTGATGCCCCTGTCATCCAGCACATCGTCCTGGGCTGTGCAGTCTCTCATCCTTTAATCAGCTCCAGAGAAGGTGGCCCCACTCCCCACCCTCCCACTGGTCCACCATTGCCTCAGTGAGACTTTTGGGAGTTTCCTTCTGGTGTCTACCCTCCTTCCACTGGCTGCAGGCCAAAGTTTCCAGTCCAGGTCATCCTCCAAAGACCTGGAGACCGGTGATTTCTAGAAGCCACATGTGTATCTGCTCTCTTTGAGGGCCTCTAAAGTCCATGTAGCCGGCTTTCTCTCCTCCGACCCAGAAGTCTTGCTCCTTTCATTTCTCTTGCCCTCCTTCATTCACTCTGGACTCTACCAGGCCTGTCCTCATTCTCTTTATGCCACCCCACCCCACCTCTGTCCCAATACACCATCCCCCAAACTGCCTAATGGCGTTCCAAGAAGGCAGCTTTGAGGGTTTGAGGCAAAGAAGAAATAAGGGCTTGCGGGGTCAGCCAGATTGAAAATTTTGTGCTTTTGGAATAAAAATATCCATGTCAGCTTTGTCCCTGCACTGTTCCTCCCACCCATCCAGAATACCCCGTCTCTTTGTTACTTCTCCAGTCCCCCTTCCTTGGAGTCTTAGGGAGAGGCCAGAGAATCCCTTAAGAGTCCAGAGGCTCCTCCTTAGAGTCTTGGTTTACAATCAGGGGAATCTGGGATATAATTTTTTTTAAGGTTTTATTTATTTATTTGACAGAGAGAGAGCGAGAGAGGGAACACAAGCAGGGAGAGTGGGAGAGGGAGAAGCAGGTGTCCCGCGGAGCAGGGAGCCTGATGCGGGGCTCGATCCCAGGATCCTGGGATCATGACCTGAGCCAAAGGCAGACGCTTAACGACTGAGCCACCCAGGCGCCCCTCTGGGATATAATTTAAATTGTGCTGGAAGAGGTTTAATTTAGACTAATTCGTAAGAACTCTTTAGGTCAATTAAGAGTGACTTAACTGAGAATATGAGGCTGGGTGCTGTTGTAGGCGGCAGGCTCTGCTCTCTATCTCCCTCTGGTGGTCACTGCGATAATCACCTCTAACGTGGGCACCAAGCTTGTGATTTGTGTGTAGTTGCTAGAAAATGGGCATCAGGGAAGGGAGCTAACCTAGGGAAGGAGGCCACCTGTTCTCTGGGAACCTGAATGTCTCTCTGACATTCAGAGAGTGCACTGCAGACGCAGACGTTGGACAGGCTGTTATTTCCTTACCCATTTTCCTTTTATGATTGTTGACTTTCTCCTTAGGAAGGGGCCAAAGAGGACAGAGAGGGAACAGGCTAGTGGAGTTCACAAGGGTGGAAGGTACTGATCCTGGCAAGAATGGCTGGCAAGAAGAAGCTGGCACAGACATACTGCCAGATCTTCTCTGAGTAAAAACCAGCTAGGGAGGAAGATGGACTGGAATGGAGGCATGACCATCTGGTGGAGAGTCAGGAAGAACAGGCCCCAGGGGGGTTGCATTTTATATTTCCTATGGGAGGTTGGAAGTCTTGGGGTGCAGATTGCAGATTGTGAGCTATACTTCTATAAATTCTCCTTTCTGAACAAAATAAAACCCCCAGAATCCTTTCTTTTCTTTTCTTTTTTTA